GAGGTCAGAGGTCAGCGCAGCTTCGTTTCTTCCTCTCGCTGTTGTAAGAATGGACTGATGGAGGAATGCAGAGTTTCCTGAAAACACTGAAGAGGGATCAGCTCCTGCAGGAGAAAACACTCAAACAGCACTGAAATACATCTTGTAGAGACAGACAGACAGACAGACAGACAGACAGACATATATGTGGACAGAGAGACAGATAGACATATGTAGACAGACAGACAGACAGATATGTGGACAGACAGACAGACAGACAGATAGACAGAATATGTAGACAGATGGACAGACAGATAAATATAGATGCATTTGGTGAATGTAAACAGCAGTGTTATTAACAGGTATAGATCTTAGATGAGTTGATCAGTTTTGTCTTTGGTTCTGACTAATCTTCTGTATCTGCATTCATATATTACTGTAAACGAGAGATCTGTGACTGTCAGCGCATGTACGCACACACTCACTCACTCACTCACACGCACGCACGCACGCACGCACACACACACACACACACACACACACACACACACAGATCTATACTCTCTGTCTCTCTCTCACTCTCTCACTCTCACACACACAGAGAGAGTGAGAGGGGGCGTGGATACATACACACACTCATACAGCTCAACAGCACATCATAGAGATACAGCAAGATGCACTGCTGCAGTCCTGAGCGACGAGAGAGCGCTCTCACATATGCTTACAGTGATGTGTGTGTGTGTGTGTGTGTGTGTGTGTGTGTGTGTATGTATATCTGCAGATATATATACAGAGATGAAGAAGGTCTTTAAGCTTCTGCGCACCCGGCAGCTATCACAATCTCTCTCTCTCTGTGTGTGTGTGTGTGTGTGTGTGTGTGTGTGTGTGTGTGTGTGTGTGTGTGTGTGCTCGTTTTTTTTGTGTGTGTGTGTGTGTGTGTGAGAGAGAGAGAGAGTGTTTTGTGTGTGTGTGTGTGTGTGTGTGTGTGTGTGTGTGTGTGTGTGTGTGATTTCTCTAAAGAAAAGGAGAATACAGTCTAGAACACACTAGCTGCACTACACACACTCATATGTGGACAAATGAATGGATGGATGAACGGATGGATGAACGGATGGATGGACGGATGGATGGATGGACGGATGGATGGATGGACGGACGGATGGATGGATGGATGGACAGACGGAGGGATGGACGGATTGAAACAGACAGAAAAAAGGATGGATGAAGGGATGAATGTATAGAAAGACGGATGGAAGGAGGGATGGATGCATGGATGGATGGAGGGAAGAAGGGATGGACAGATGGATAGAGGGAAGTATCGATGGAGGGATGAATGTATAGATGAAGGGATGGATAAAGGAAAGGATGGACAGATAGATGGAGAGAAGAAGGGGTGGAAAGATAAAGGAAAAGAGGGATGGATGGAGGGATGGAAAAACAGATGGATGGTGGGAAGGAGGGATGGATCGATGGATTAAGAGAAGAAGGAATGGATGGACAGAGGAAAGGATGAATGGAGGGATGGATGCATGGATGGATAGAGGGAAGGAGGGATGGAGGATTAGAAAAACAGATGGATGGAGGGAAGGAGGGATGGTCAGATGAATGTATAGACAGATGGATGGATGGATGGATGGCACGCATGCACACAACCCTTCTAAGAGAATACTACATAGCTGTGATTAAATTATATCATGGAAGAAATGCGCACGCACGCACACACACACACACACACACACACACACACAGCCTGTGCGTGTGTGTATTATTCTGGAAGCGCTCTGATGATGATATGCAGCATGTCAGGTCAGCGCACATGAGGACGTGTGAGGATAATCAGAGCTGAAGCAGAGCCACCGCGTGATGTCACACTGATTACATCATCAGGGGGAGGGGCCATTACATCATCATCATTACATCATCACTGTGTGCCCTGAGGGAAAACAGCAGAGCAGAGGAGAGGAGA